AGCAGATTATTTATATTGTTGCTGTTGTTACAATTAAAAAAAAACCTAATATAATTAAAAAACAAGAAACAATATAAAAGCCTATTTAAAAAGCATCATAAGACACACAAAACTCACAGCTCATATTCCCATTTATCAAATTCAGTATAATAGCCACTGCACTGGCATAACCACCCTCCTGTTTTCTTGGGTCTTCAAGGCTCTGCAAAAAGCCAGCAGGGTGAGGGCCCATTGGATCTCCAGTGGGGAGATGTTCCACTTGGCAGATGTTTTGAGCAGAAAAGGCTATCTTTCGGACAGTCTCTGGCTAATGGGATCCCGCAGTATGCTTCTCCTGCCAGATCTGATGAGATGGGTAAATGTAACTGGAGAGAGGTTCAAGTAATTCAAATGTATACTTGCTACATTCAGATGAAGGAAAAACTCTCTGGTTTGTAAACTGAACTCTGTCCCTAATAGATTTGTTTTCTAATAATAGAATTGTTGAAATGCTATTTCATCCCATCTGGGATAGAAAGCCTTATCTGTAGTGTACAAAGCATTTTCTGTGTACCTGGAGTTGGTCCCAAGTCTAATTTGTTCGTGAGTTAAATGTGCTGTGATTTGCTTTGATTTTTAAGTAACGTATTCCTAGGAACAGACAGTAATCTTGGCAGATTATGAATGAGATGGTTGTCCTGGATGACCTGTCAGGATCTGGATGGGGACTGCACATTTCCCTAGGTACTTTAACCATAATATCATATTGGATCACTTAGGAGGGTTGGAGTTTGAATAGATTGGTTCCCCTTCTTCATCAGTACATGGTTCCAGCCTATTTTAATGGGGAATGAGAGACAGGCCAGATAGTCTGACTTATTGGATGCCATAGGTAGTCCTCAGTCCTTCTTTTAATATTTACAGTATAGGTCTAGGGAGATTCTCAGTAATGCAGGTCATAGGTGGTTTTTCAAGAGGCAACTGGGCATTCTGGTTTTTCTTTGAAGACATTTCGCTTTTCATCCAAGAAGCTTCTTCAACTCTGATTGGATGGTGGGGAATGTACAGCTGTCTGGAAGGTGCAGACAGCTGGTCACTTGCATTCTTTTAGTGAGTCATTTAGCGAGAGGGTGGGATACAGCATCATCTATCTCCAGTCTACAACAGTTTTTTCAACAGTTTCACACCCATTTGCACCATTCAGGTGACCCTGATGACACAGATAAACTTCCAGGTGGCCTCAATGACTTGCTAAAAGAATGAAAACACCCAGCTATCTACAAGGAGTACAAATCCTTCCATTCCCCACCATCCAGTCAGAGCTGAAGAAGCTTCTTGGATGAGAAGTGAAATGTCTTCAAAGAAACAAGTCCAGTTGCCTCTTGAAAAACCACCTTTGGGATGTACAAGTATATGAAACTGCTGAAGGAAGTAATTCGACATGCTGGTCTGATACCAAGGGCTCTGCACTGGTTACCATTTCCATTCTAGCTACAATTTAAAATGCTGTTTTTTTTCCCTATAAAGGCTTTTATAACCTGGCACATGGGTAATTATTGCAAGATTGCTTTCTTGTATCACCATAACCTGTTACAGCAACAAGGGAAAATTCCTTGTGGTCCCACACTTGTGGAACGTGAGGGCGGGTGAAACTAAAATACACTGCTTCTCGGGATTATGCTGCTCCCTCAGGGCCTAGGCAATGCTTTGGAACCCACCGAGATTAGAACTGGACTTCAGAAGGTGGTTAGCAATTTTAACTTTTTAAAAGTGATGCTCACCTATTGTACCATCTTTTCCTTTTCATTTTTAAGCTACATATAGTAGCATCATTATTTTATTTTTCTTTTAAGCAGACCATGGATTATTATTATTATTATGCTTACCTAGTAAACTGCCATTTAAGACTTAATTTGTTTTTCATAACTGTTATAAATTTTCTCACCATGGTATAGCTCTCTCCCAGCCACATCTTTTCTTCTACTTTAAAAGGCTTGACCTAAAGTAAATGCAAAATATTCCACTTTCAAAAACAGCACAATGACAAATGGAATATTTCTGAAGACGAAAGAGCAGTTACTCTACACAGGAGATATTTAGAGCATCTTTCTCTCATGGGGGATGTACAGGAGAAAAGGCATGGGTACATCTTTCCATTTGTCAGAAAAGCTAAGTAGGTAATGTTTCCCCTTTTCGGTTTAACTTTTAAAATACAAATACTCTTAAGTGTTCTCAAAGCCATAAATTCCAGTAGTTTTAAAATCATTTTTAATTTACCCACAGATTCAATATGTTTAAAGTATTTAATGCAATTTAGATCACTATCTTGTATCTTTTTATATCTATGTCACAGCTATGTCCCACAGCTACTATGTAACTGTAGATCTCTAGAACCATGATCCTTTTATTACAGAAATGCTCCCATTATTTCTTGAAAAAGACAGGCACATATTTATAAGCATTCTGTTATTCTATTTTTTATTCATAGTAAGTTTTTAAACTCCTTAATATTTCATTGACTTGTGTCTCACTGCAGTAGAGTATACACTTAGATACCTCTGCACTAAAGTGTAGCAAGTTGGCCCTTCTGGTATATATTAATTTTTCTGTCACAATCACTGCTGTTGGAACCACCACAATTTTGAAGTGTTGCTACTGCTTTCACACAGCAACAAATTTTCCACACTCTGGAAGAGAGTGGAAAGTCCTCCTGCTTACTATTCCTTTCATTCTCTTCTGCAGCATCAGTAGTGCAAGGTGTTTTAGCTTTTGCAGGGTGTTTTAGCTTTCTTCTTTGGCAGAAGGAATGCCAGGATAATATACTTTAAGATTTATTACTGTATATATTAACTGTTAAGGAACCAATTTAGAATTAAAAAGATAAAGGGAAGGAAATGAGGATTCCTGTCCATAACAGGACTGTATATAGCAAGTACACAAATAAGAGTTCAGTTCAAACTATAATACACATTATAGAAAAATCATAATTGGATCTAGTCCCATATATTTGCAGAGGATAATTTTTTTCTGATTTTCCAATCGTTATTCCAGGACTGGGACAATTGGTTTTCCCTTGGGAGAAGCAAGCCAGCAAAGGTTCCCTCTTCCTGTTGGGATGATACAATATAGAACAAAGGTCCAATAGGGTCAGTTTTCCATCTTCCAAAATTAATCCATGAAGAGCTTTCTGGCTCCTAATTGGTTACTTACAGTTTGAGTTTCCTGGGCTTAGACTGGTAAATTTATGTTTAATTCTTTTGTATCTGAACATTTAGGAGTATTTTTTTCTTTTTCACTGCATCATCTAGAGCAGGGGTCCCCAACCGCCGGTCCGCGGACCGGTACCGGGCCGCGGAACAAGCCTTACCGGGCCGCTGGTTGCTGGGCGCCGCCATCTTTTTTTGGTAAAAAAAGCAATTTTTCGTCAAAAAAGATGGCGGCGCCAGCGCTTCCGGTGAGCTTTTCCGGGTAGAAAGCCATTTCTACCCGAAAAAGCTCACCGAAAGCGCTGGCGCCATTTTTTTTGATGAAAAAATCGCTTCCGGTGACATAGTGATTTTTCGTAAAAAAAAATGGCGGCGCCCAGCTGACACCGGAACCGGGCCGTGGCGCCCAGCTGACGCCGGAACCGGGCCGCGGCGTCGAAAAGGTTGGGGATCCCTGATCTAGAGTTCCACTAAGGCTTCAGAATCAATGATTTAAATCTTTCCAGCAATGTAAACAAAATGAGGTTATTATTAGGACTTTGACCAGCATTACAAATAAGAGAAAGGAAACAAGATTGCCATGGCAAACCCATTACCAAGAAAACATAACACAATAGAACCACACATGGCCCAGTAACCACACATGGCCCAGTATTCGGCAACTTGGAATATGTGAAAACTTAACATAGTTTTAAAATAATGAATATAAAATTTATCTTTACAACCCTCAAATGTGGAAATAATTGGGAAGAGCAAAACATGTGTCAGGGTATCATGAACACACAAGGGAGACTGTAAAAAGAGAATGGGCAAGAGTTTAACCTCCCTAGAGCCACAAGAGCTATGTCTCTGAGGATTTATGGTCTCTAGGGAGGAAGAAAGAGCATTAAAATCACTTATAGAAAAAGTCCATCTATATTTACTCAGCATTAGATGTGCAAATACCACACAATAAAGAGTTTGCAGTCGTCTTATCTAGGAGTCCTCAAGCCCTGGGCCGTGAAAGAAGCAAACCAATGGGTTTGTGTGCACAGCTCCACTTGTGCAAATGGCACAAGTGGAGCTGTTCTCTCCTCACCCCTGCCGCCCGTCCACAAAGGTGGAAATGTTGGAGACCGCTGGTCTAACATTTGGCTAGAAAATGTAGGAAGAGTGGTAAGATCATTCTCATAATCAATGTTCCTAATTTGCTCCTTTACCAGTGACCATATTCAGAAGAGAGGCTGAGACTAACAAAATTTATTTATACAAGTTGTTACCATGATTGACAGCTGTCTATCAACAGCAGAGGTAACAATCCTATAGGAATAGAAATGATTCCAAAGCATGAAGTTCTCAGAAATGTAAATTCTAGATCTTGCAAGTTCCTCACCATAAAACCCCTTGAAAGAAACTTGTTTCTCAGACTGAATGACAGATCTGACAATGTTTCACTATTCCTGTTCTTGAAAAATATATGCCATTCTATTTGTAGTCTAATAATCAGGTCAACATTCATACTCCTTTTATCAGATGCACGGTTCCTTTTTAAATTTACCATAGATATTAAAAATGCAATCATAAGATTAAATGGCAAAAATGAAAGGCAAAAAGCAAACAAAATGGAAAGGCCATTTCTGTCCGTTAGAAATCTAAGGATTCAAAGCGCACCTACTTGCATTTTCAGTCTCAATTGTTCTGGTCAATTAAATGGAATTTGGTGTGTCAAACAAAGATCTTCCTAAAGACAAAGATTCACCCTTACTGTAAAAACAATCAAACAATCTAATGAAATTATATTCATTCACAGATGAAATATGAAAATTAGACTTCAAGGAGATTTGAAACAGATATTGAATTTATTGGTCAGCTATGAGTAGGAAAATACATTGGTAAAGAAAAAAAAGACAACCCTGTATATAAATATAATACTAGCTAGTTAAAATTTGACCAAGAAGAAAGTTCCACTGAAGAGAACAGTAAAAGCCCTTGTTTACCATCAGACCATATTCAATTTCCCATTTATCATATTGAAGAGCTGCCTATGGACAAATGCAACATTCTTTGAGCTTAGTGCAGATGATGTGCTGGTTTTTTTTTTTTGTTACACATATGGTAAACAAGAGTTAGTCCAGTGCATTACACGTTATACAGAAATACTGTGAATAGAGACTATCTAAAATTTAGACACTACTTAAACATACCAAGATACCTACATTTTAAAGAAGCTTACACAACTGAAAAGTATATCAGGAGTTAACATATATGAAAATACTGTGTCAGGCTGGATGGGAAAATAAACAGACTCACCACTTAAGCAGTAAATTTGACTTGGAAATTTGCAGTGATTAACTCTGTTGAAAAATGGTAGTGCAATTATTTTGTCTTTGAGTTCTTTGTCCTATGGATGAAGTGAGAACTTGACATCTGAACCTACTATTCTATATTTAAGCCACAGCAAAATTCATATAATTTTATCAGAGATTTACATAAGTGGGTGCAAGTCTGCATTTTGAATGGTTAGTTTTTACAATGGAGACTTCTATGTTTTAAACCCACAAATAAACAGGGACAAAATAATTACACACATATCCTCGATATTTTCCTCGGTGATCTTAACATTTCAAAATCCCTTAACATTTATATTTTCCATTTAAGTTCCGTTAACAACTGAATGTATGCACATTTCAGAACCAAATAGACATACGTAGTTTTTTTTTCTTAAATTAGGGGACAGGGACAGGACACTTCATGCCCAGCAATGCTCTATGGTTTTGACTTAATATATGTGATTACATTGATAAGAAATACTGAACATATATTATGGCAACACCCAAAGCCATCTTAAGTAAATAAAGTGTTAAAGTTACCGGAAATTAGCATTTGTGAAGACATTGTTTATTGCATTTATTTATTATCTGAATTTGTTTGATGCAGAAAATTATTTAAAAATATTACACTTGATGCAATTAATGTATCATCCAGTAAAGTTGCAGAATATTTCCTCAAAGTGAGCTTCGATTCATTGCTGCAGAATCTGACCAAAGGTCCACTGATGCCAAAGAGGCTCTATTGTTTCTGAGATTTTATTCTTCATCTTCTTATCCAAACATAAAAAATTTTAATTGAGCAGCTCTGAGACTGCAATATGCCCAGGCAAGAATAGAAGAGCACCTGAATAGGCTTCTAAGCACTGAATATGCTACCACAAATTCATACAGATATGTATTTAAGACAGAACAACTAAAGGTGAAAATGGATTTGTAAAGCTTAAACCTTTAAGATTTACCAAGTGCACTCAAGCTCCAACTTAAATGGAAAAAAATCAACTCCTTTCAAGAAATATAAAATGTATAAGTGCTTCCCTTCTATAAAGCTTTCTGGACATACTACTAAATAATCCAGATGATCAGGAAACAAAAGAGTTGCAAAATATGGCAAGCTAAATTGGTTCCACTGTCATAGAAAATTGTCATGACATACATTACCAACACATTGTTAAGGAAAGATGAGTAAAACACCTTTTATTAACACTTTTACAAAATAACCCCAACCAAAAAAAGAACAAAAGAACAAAAAACATCACTACTCATTGGATCTACTACATCAATTGTTACCAGCATTCCGATGTACTGATTATAAACTGGACATGTTTGGTATTTGAATAACTAAAAAAAAAAACCAAACAAAAAAAAAAACACCCCACAACAACAACAACAAAAGAAAAAAAAATCAGGTCCTAGACAAGGATTCAAGATCTCCCCTTTTTCTACTGAAACTTTAAAATGTTTTAAACATGAATTCATTGTAAATTTATTGTTCTCTTCAAAACAAAATGGTTAAGCACTTCTAAGTGCAGATAATTTCTTCTTTATAAAATATTCAATTATTAAGATCCATTTTTATTTTTTTAAAAGTCATTATTTTCTGAATTTCAATACAACAACGTGCTTTTATTTCTCTGCCTGCAGTTGAAACAAAAGCAGTTTGACCAAGTTCTTTCTTTATATAAGGTAACATTGAAGGTCCACCTACTAAGGAGTCGATAAAATTCCCCTTTAGAACAGATTGTGTGTGTGTGTGTATGTGTGTGTATACAGATAGATACACACACACACACACACACACATACACACAGCTTTCAAATACTAATGGCACTATGTGGGTACACAATTTTATTTTTGTTGACACTTTACAGAAAAGGACTTGGTCACTTTAATGATTGATCTGAAATGTTGTCTAGGGAACCTGTACTGAAAAAGCATTTCTAATTACACTGCTTCATAAAATAGAAGACGGTATACTTAATCTTCAAGGAATGGCGACTGAGGAATACAGTTAAATTGAAAAAGGAATTCACATGATGGTATTTAGTGGGGGAGTGAGGCTAGGAAAGAAACAGCATTATGCAATAACATTGAAAGAAGCAGTGCAGGGGTATCAGAAGCTTAGAATTTGTGTACCCACCATCTGAGCATGTTCATAAAAGTGATATTCCAATGCTTCACAAAAGGAAAACAAAATAGATGCCACAGCTTATACAAAAGTATCTTCATAAAATTTTCACAAAATGTTAACATTATTTTTTAAAAAATAAAAGAGGATGCCCAGGTTCCCTCTGCATGCACAGGCAGTGCTAATTGAGAACAAAATCAAGCAGGCACAGTGGAGATAGGAAATTGGTGACTCAACACAGAAACTAAAGAGCTGTACACAATGTTCCGCCCAACCCACTTCTGACAGGAAAAATGCTAGTGATCATACTGATGAGTGCTATCCATCCACAAACGCCTAATCAGACACTGCTTAGCTTATCTGTTCCGAAATCAAGTGAAAGTTGCCACTTTTAAGTGAAAAGAAAGAAAGAAATGGATGCGTGTTAACTATGAATTTACCAAATTCAGATTTAAAAGCGGTGTTCTCAATTTAAAAAAATGAAGTAGTACATATGGGCTAAAAGCCCTAACAGTGCAAATCATTAGCAGAGAAAATCTGGTGCAACTTCTTTTACAAGCTGGCCTTTATAACACATGAAACAGATAAAAATTTAGCCTTAGTTTACAATACAATCATTTTCCAAATCTGATTTTTTTAAAGTACAAAATCTCATAAATCAGGTTTTCTGTTGTTCATATACAATCAATAAAGGCTAAATTCAAATTCTATATTTTACAAACAAACAAGTCTGAAAAAGAAGGGAGTGAAGTATGGAAGAATGGTCTTTTGATTTTTAACTACTGGCCTCAAAAAGTAGTGCTACAGATATCTGTGCAAAAGAGAATTTATTATAGCAATTCCCTATTTTCAAGGCATGAAATATTACATTGGATAAAACAAACAGATTATTGGTAACAAATCTAAGAAAGGTGCCCATGCACCAATCCCTGTCTAACAGTATATAAAGCATGTTGGGCTCAGAATTGTGTGTCTGATAGCACCTGGCTTTTACTATTTCTTTAACAAATTATTAGATTTAAAATTAAGATCATTAAGAAAGATCCCTGTTGGCCATACCTCACTCCTCTATATTCAGATTTTACAATTTTACAAATTACATCGAGGTTGTCCTCTAAAATGTACTTGACTACCTCCTGCTAGGCAGATGGATTCCATTTACCGGGGGCAGGAAAGGCAGCACCAGCTCCAGTTGTGCAAAAAGTGAGAAGTGGTCAGAAGGAATGAGCGGGTGTGGACAGCCACTTATATTGTTCTCTATTAGCCAATGATGATCCAAAGGTCCTAAGATGCCAAGAATATTCAGCTGAGGTTTAGAATAGAAGATGTAATCAATAATACCCTAAAAAAAAAAAAAAAGGAGAAAGGAACTGCATAAATATCTTTACATTAATAAACCATAGGCTTGTTTGAACACATTGATTTCATGTTAAAATATCCACTGGTGTATTTTTAGATGGCTGGCCTATGCAGAGTTCTGAGACACAGAAAAATGCCTACTCCAATATACATTTTCCTATAGTTTGAAATCAGATGTGACATTTCTACTGCTTGTAGCTATCAGGTTGTCACTCCAATCCCGTCTGCCTATAACATTTAATTTACAGTTCTCTCTAACCACAGATGATGCATGCAATAGATCAACTCACATAACTACCGAATAGGAGAGGTATAAAATTGTAAAAACCATTTAAATATCTGGAATCATAAGTCAGAGAAGACGGCTTTTGCCATGCTTTCTTAGCTACTTGGTGTAGCATATCCAGCATCAGAATGGCTACCACTGCATGTGTGAATGGGCTAAATTACAGGACTTTGAAAGGGGACATTTTAAAAGGATCTATTGTCTTATATTTGTGATGTTAAGAAATGGCCCCTGATCCCAACTTCAGAAGATGAATTTGATTAATTACCTTCTGATTAAAGGATAGATCCACAATGAGAGAAAGACTCTTGTTTGCAGGAAAACAAGATCAGGTTTATGGCACCATAAAATATGGTGTGATATTTTGGTGTGGAGAGAAGAAAATAAGCTATAGTTGCCACATGATACGGAAGTCACATAAAGTCAATTGTGAAACTAGTGGGATAGCTATTTGTGACGATGGCGATGGTTACAATATCCTTTTTCAAATACTTTTAAAAACACAACAATTTCTAGACAAGAAAGGAGAGGTGATGTAAGAGAAGCCATAGAATCTGAGTTGGTTTGACACATTCACATAATCTCAACAGATGGCATATGAGATCCATACTTCAGAAGTACTGAGGCTTATTGCTTCTGGGCAGAACAGAAATCTCCACGATACTGATCTAGAAGAAGTCAAATTCTACTTCTGAGGACAGAATAGAACATTTTCAAAATGCTTAGAACTAAAATTTACAAAATCCCATAGCTCTAGCTACGAGGGTTGGGATCTAAACATTTGGAGAACATCAGATTATTTAGCTACGGATAATTCTAGACTCTAGATGAGACAATGGAGGCTAAACTAATTCCCCATTCATCAGACATCTTTCATAGTACATTAGTAGCAGTAGTTCTTGAGAAATACCAATAATGTAGCCAATGTACATAATAAGAATATTGCCCTGAACCAACACAGCAGAAAAAACGTTCATCTTATTATTCAGAATCCAATATCTGAACCTTGCTGAGCCAAGGACTTGTTTTCCAAAATCAGTATAGCAAAGGAGAAGAGACATGAGAGAAGCATCAACGAGATAATATGAAGTAAGAGTATTAGCTATAAATAGGTTTCCTAATCTGAGTTTATATATTCAAAAAATTAATATACTCTCATCCACTTAATGGCTCTGGGTAGCTTACAAAGGTGTGCTAAAAACAAAAATATTTAACCTTGCAACAACAAATTCCTAACATTAGAACACTGAAACAAAGTCTGCCAGTATGGCTGTCTATCTGTTTTACAGAAGGAAAATAGATGATGAGACGCTAAGCCACATGATGTGGTTCTGATCCATTATCATCAGTTTAATATTCATTAGCAACAGCACTTAGACTTATATACTGTTTTACAGTGCTTTACAGCCTTCTCTGAGCAGAGTCAGCATATTGCCCCCAACAAGCTGGGTCCCCATTTTACCCACCTCAAAAGGATGGAAGGCTGAGTCAACCTTGATTTCATGGTGAAATTTGAACTGCCAAATTGCAGGCAGCCGGCAGTCAGCAGAAGTAGCCTACATTACTACACTCTAACCAGTGCGCCACCACAGCTCATTAAGTTTGTAATTGTACTGTTATAAACATAAATATGATTTAAAGCTGGGAATGTATTTCTTAATTATACATACACACAAAATGTAAAGAATTACTGATTTTACTGAACTTTGGGGTGGGACAGCAATAAACCATATCTCTTCATGTTGTAAAAACAGTGTGACCTTCAATTTGCAACTTTGGATTGTCAAAATGTGTTTGTTGTGTGATTGCAAGCTGGCTATTTATCAATGCAATGGAGCGTCTGATATCATTCCATTGGGTCAAAATTTAATGGCATGTTTAAAGATTGTGCTAAGTGTCCTGGCTGATCTGGCAGGGCAGGGCAGGGCATTCTCTAGGTCAGCGGCACCTATTCTTTTGGTCTCTAGGGACCAGTTCTGTGGAGAAAGGTTTTAACACAGACAGGAAGGGGCGTGGTTTTGTGTGCTGACTGCATCCCATGGTTGGGGCTTCGCTTGTTTGCATGGCCGTTTCTGGCATGCCGCAGTCTGGTGCCAGTCCTTGGACTGGGGGTTGGGGACCCCTGCTCTAGGTACTTTCAGCTAAGGAATATTGGCTGGAGGGGCGCAAAAGAGCCTTTTTGCTATGGCACCCATCCTTTGGAACATCATTCTCCCATATTAGATTGACTCTGGCCCTCTTGGGTTTTTGTAAAGCCTTAAAACCTTGGCATTAGAGTCTAGCCTGGTGTCCTGGGCATGTATTACGACCTATCACTTGGCTGTGTGAATGATTGGTTAGATTATGCTGGCTGCTATCCATTTTATTTTATTTTTATTGAATATTTTATGCATTTTTATTTGTTCTATTGCAACCTGCCTAGAATCACATAAAAGTGAGATACACAGCTACATAAACTGAAGAAATAAAAGATTTTATGTGTAGCATAATATGTTTTTGTTATTTCCTTATTTGTGGGGGAAGGGGTTTCCTCCCTCCCCATTCTCCCTTTCTTGAACATTATACCCTATTTTTAAAAACTCAGGCATTTTCCAAGGCCCCCTCTAAGCTGTAATAAGAAAGGAACTTGCTTTATCTCCTGAGGCCATCTGTTATAGCTACAGAAAGCAGAATTAATCGCTAGTGTCAAATGCATATTCTGGCAAGATAAGTAATAAATGCTTCTTTGAGGTCAATAGGAGATGAGTCACCAAAGCCAGGTCTCTCTCACCAGGCAGGGACAGGTCTGATTTATCAGATGGAAATGATAAAAGATCTACCCGTTCACTGATGTTATATGATTGTTCATTCATCAATGATGAATCAAATAGGACAATCTCATGCTGCCCCTGATCCTTAAAAATAAATGCCATTCTCTCCACTTATAATAAGTGTTTCTTCAAAATTGTAAGTCCATCTCCCACATTCAGTAACAAATATGTCTTGTCCTATAGAGGTTGTTTGTTCTCCCAAACAACCTGGAAATGCTCAAGATTTCCTGAGATGTCCTGAATTTACAGAACAATAAAAATAAACAACATGTTAGCAACAACTAGCTCTAATCCTGTGATAATCCTTTCCAGAAACTTCATATACATATGAAATAACAGAACCTTAGGGGACACTTCTAGATAATTACAACAGGAAATTCTTTCTTTCTTTTTCAATTTCCAAAGCACTGCACATTCTCAGCCTGTACATGCCTAATTCCCACCATAACTGACTTCACATTTCATGTTTCTGGATTGAGTTTTCCACGCTAAACTACATAAACCTTAAAGCAACATTGGTGCAATGGGAATTTGTTTTAAGGAGTCATAATCTTTGTGTAAAATCAAGCTTACCTTGAAATCAAATGTGTAATTTGTGTAAGGCATTAAACCATTCTCATAGGCACTCTTCAACTTGAAACCATGAGTAATCCTTCCATTGGTAGTTCCATTTTTTCCATTATAACTGAAGTTAGAGAGACTTTCATTATATCTCAGTTCCTTGAAATCTTTATGATTTGTTTCTACGCCACCGGTGCTCAAATATTCAACCACACCTATTACAATGTAAATTAACAAAAGAACTATTAATAACAAAGCAAATGTGTTCATTTCAGTACTATTGCTCCACCATAACCAAAGGAAAATATTACCATGCATTTTATTTTTATACTGCTTTTATTGACTAAGAAGCTGGAAATATTTACCAGCTTATTGTATTTTTTGTTTTCTATACAATAAGCATTAAGTATGATTTGGAAGAATCAACTAAATTAAAGACACAGTGAGGTTCTATGTGTTTGTGAGTCAAAGGTTAATAAAATGAGCCTAACTCCACTACTGGTAGTCCTTGACTTACAACCATTCATTTAGTGACCATTTGCAGTTACAAAGGTATTGAAAAAGTGATTTATAATCATTTTTATACTTACAAAAATGTAGCATCCCCATGGACATATAATCAAATTTCGGACGATTGGCAACTGGCATGTATTTGGGACAGTTGCAGTGAACCAGGGTTATGTGATCACCTTTCTGCAACCTTCTGACAAGCAAAGTCACTAGAGAAGCCAGACTGACAGTTGTTAAGTTACCATGTTACTAATTTAACTATATTCACTTAACAGCTGTGACAAAAAAGATCGTAAAATGGGACAAAACTCAGTTAACAACTGTCTTGCTGAGCAATGGAAATGTTGGGCTCAATTGTAGTTGTAAATCAAGTACTACCTGTACTTAGTATTCATATCAAATTTCAGTCTTCAAAATTCTTTCACTTCACCAATACTGCAATGCTTTAATGAAGGTCAGTATATTCCATGCTACATACGGGAGATTAGAAAAATTTCCAGCAGGTGCAGTGAGATTGAATTGAAACTAAATTTATTAGATGTATTAGTTAAGGTGCTAGACTAGGACTAGAGAGACCTAGATTCAAGTTACCCTTGGCCATGGAAACTCATTAGGTCACTTTGGGAGAGTCATTTGAGGTCACCAAATTAACTGAAAATATTATTACTGTGGGGAAAACTGAAGGAGGAATGGTAATGTATGTCACATTGAATATCTGTGGAGGAAAAGTGGAACAAAAATCTAATACAAAACACTAAATCCATAAAAAGCTTTACACGCTCATCCTCAATTAAATGCCCGCTTAACTCAGAACCTGAACAAGTGATGGTCAAGCAGAGAATTTAGAGTGCTTTGGACCTTTGCTACTCATAGTTTTGAATTTTGAACCATGTACAACTACTTGGGCACCTCTTACATTTTAATTTTGTACTCCACCTTCTGCCTTATTTAATTCTTTAGAAGCACTAATTGAACCTGAATTCAGAACTGATCATTCAGTGTGCTCAAGAAGACTTTAGCAGCTTGACGTTTCTGAAGTCCTAACAGCAAGGACCCCATCCTACACCTTCAGAGATTTTTCAGTAAATAAAATGTAAACTCTGTTAGACTGTACAAAAGATCAATCAGTCATATCATTGTTCTAATAATTAATTAGAATATGTATCTGCTTACCAGAATCTGGCAAAGAATTCAAATCTGCACACAGTACAAGTGGAATTGTTGCATGTTCCCCCGAAGCACTAGGCCTGAGATTCCGTGAGGCTTTGTCAATTATGTTCTTTACTTCAGAAAGGAACATCATTGTCTGAACCAGCTTCACATCAGAATAGTCTGGGTCCCAGTGCATGTGTGCATTTGCTACCAGAACCAGCTGTTTATCCATTACAGAGTGTGGTTTGCCAGCTAAAATTTAAAAAAAAAAGTAACATATCCAATGAGGCAAGAATGGAATTGTACTGTATGAATCTCAATGGTTAATTTACTGAAACCTACTTCTGGGCAACTAAATTGAGACTGTCAATGGAAATTAACCAGGATTCATTAGCATAGCTAGCCATTTTACCATTTAAAAAGAAAAATTAGTCATTTTTGTTGGCATTATTACATTACTAACACAAGAACAAAAAGCCACATGGTGATAGTCTGCACACAAATTGTGTTGCTTTAAAACAACTGCTGCTGCTATCTATAACTATGTAGCCAAGATGATCCTTTAGTCTTTTGCACTGTCTGCTCAGAAAATCAGAGGCAAGGTGATAATTTTGTAAATGGAAAAAAACCTAAAGGAACTTAGGCCTAACCAGTAATTATACACCCTCTAAGGAACAGCAGCAATAGAAAAGGACTGCAGCATATCTTTAACCTGACCCTCATTGTTGCTTGAACTCTCTATCTTCTAATGTAACTTCTACATTTTCTCTTCATAGAGGCTGCCTACATGAACAGAAATATGAGAATATCAGATCTCTAAGTCACACAGCGACTCCCATGAATAGACAATGGTCTCCCTTGCAGAAGAGATATCGTCACAATTAAAAAAGAAAGTGCCATGTTACTTAGAGGCAGGATTAAATGCTAATAAACTGTTCTACAACTGTTTTTATTCAAGATGCCCCTTTGTGTACTAAATAATAACTAAAGAATTAAACTAAGAATTAAACTAAACTGTAAGAATAGCTAAAGAATATGTTGTAGCACTACCAAAGAAATCCGTTCTCCTCTAATAATACAAGGGGATCAACGTTCTTTATAAAGCAATTCAAAAGTGGCATCCTTACATAATTACATGAAATACTATATATGTGTCCATTTTAGTGTTTTACATATGATTTAATTTTCATTAGACAATAACAAAACATACACAGAAATATGAAAAGATGATGGCATGAAAAGCAAGTTGTAATAACTCATTCATGTTACATTTTTACTTTCAATTTTCTGACATCAACGGATCTTTTGTACTGCAAAAATTAGATGTAGAGCCACCTCTTGTGTACTAGGTAAGATTGTCAGCTGTAGCCGAGTCAGATAAAATATTTTTCTTTGGTACAAGAATTAAAGGTTTCCTCTTTTAGTAATGTTGAAAGCTAGGAAATTCTAGTATGTGAAGAACATTTTGGGAGGGGGGTGTTCCATGTCCAACTAACCATGTTGTAAATAGCAGTACAGGTAGTCTTCATTTAGTGACTGCCTTGTTTAGTGACTGTTTACAATTACAACCATGATGAAAAAATACGTTTCTAGACATTTACAGATCGGGGGGAGGGGGGGGGGCAAAAGATTGTTACCACAGTTGCAATTTTACTTAAAAACTGCATTGCTGAATGACTGATTTGCTGCTCACAATTGTGGTTGTCAAATGAGGACTATCTGTAAGGACTAGAACTAGAAAAGTATTATAAAATAAATGTTCATTCTTAAATCAATCACAACACAGAAAGCTTCAAATAGCCACTGATTAGTCATTCATCTTTTTAGTTTTTTTAACAGGCCTTCTGAATAATTTTTCCCTCCCAAAGTAGGTGTGTGTGCGCACGTGCATGTGTGTGTGTGTGTGTGTGTGTGTGTGTGTGTGTATGAAATGAGTCAGTCCAGTCTACTACCAGATTAACAACAAACTTACATGACATTTCCATTAATTCCTTTCGCAGTTCTAACAGCACAGCAACCCCAATGTTGTCCTTCGTCATGACTCTGTTCAGCATTGCCTCAGATCCTTCAGAGTTTGCCATAGCCAATTGGTTAAACTCAACAGTATGTTTTTGAACCAAGGTGAACCTTAAAAGAACACGGCAGAAACAAAGACGTCATTTCCCATTTAAAAAATAATAATTACTTGGCGCATCTTATTTACTTAAGAAAAGGCTTTTTAAAATATAGAAATGATATAGTGAAATGTATTTATTTAATACGGACAATGCAATGAAGTGATAGTTCAATGTATTTAATATAGACAAGAGCAATGAAGTGATAGCTTATGCCATATATAAGTAAAGGTCACTCAGACTGAATTTCTGAGTAGGCAAAAAAAGTGATTCATTGGCAGAATGAAACAAATAACCAGGTTATCAACATATACACTGAGATGTCAGACTTTGGCACTCATTTCTAATCTATATAAAATTTTAAAGGAGTTTTATACCAATTATGCTCTAAATAGCCTCTCTACAAGGAAGTCTGGGGTTCTGCTCAAATTTAATAAAGTTAATAAAGTAAAAAAAAAAACTAGTGTACTGGCAAACCAGTTTCATACTGTTGCCAAGAAAACAACTTGGATATACCCATTAGAAGCTGAAGAAGACAGTTTACTTATTCCTATTAAAAGAAGACCAAACTAAATTGTAGTGTAGTCCAAACTAAAAAATGCTATGTTTATAATTGTTATAATTAATTGTAACAGCTGATGTATATATAGTCTTCTTTAAAAATAGAAATGCTTCATTTTGCAAATAATGTTATCTTGAAAACATCATTTGAAAACCAAGTTAATTTTAAAAAATGTTACAGAATTATTTTAGTGAATCCTTGAAAATAATACTTAATGATGCTAGTGTTTCAGTACTGTATACTGCAGCAGGATGAACAATCTATTAATTCACTTAAGATTCAGTATATTATTAATAGCTTCATAACCAAGGTTAGACATAATTTAGTGATTTGAAAATTTATTGGCGTAACTATTATATCAAAACTTATTTTTATAATCTCTTACATTTTGCCAAAACAGATAGAATTTAAATATAAAGGGTTATTTATTTATTAGATTTATAGGCTGCCTTTTGACCTTTTCACTTCAAAGTAGCAAACACAATATTTCTTTGCATCATTTTTCCAACAACAACCACAGGATAGATTGGACTGAGACAGTGTGACTGCCCCAAAGCCACCTAAAGAATCTCCAGGGCTAAGGATAGACTTTAGTGGATCTTCCAGATTCTGATTTGGTATACTTTAACCAGTACAGGTAGTCCTTGACTTACAACAATTTATTTATTGACCATTCAAAGTTACAGTGGCATGAAAAAGTGACTTAAGAACATTTTTCACACTTATGATCATTGCAGCTTCCCTGTGGTCACATGATCAAAATTGAACTGCTTGGCAACTGGCATGTATTTATGATGGTTGCAGTGTCCCGAGATCATGTGATCATCTTTTACGACCATCTGACAAGCAAAGGGGAAGCCAGATTCATTTAACAATAATTTCACTAACTTAACAACTGCAGTGATTCACTTAACAACTGTGGCAAAATTCACTTAACAAAATGGGGCAAAATTCACTTAACAAAATGTCTCACTTAGCAACAGAAACTTTGGGCTCAATTGTGGTGGTAAGTCAAGGACTACCTGTATACCACACTCGGAAACCTGTAATTGTTTAAGAATCATATCTCATTCTGTGCACGGAGAGAATGAGATTGAAAGTAAAAGAGAAGACAACTGCTTAAGATTGCCTGGCAATCTTATGACGGAGAATTTTTATATTTATTTGTTTGTATCCCTCATTTATTAACTTTACAAATAAATTTATAAATAATTCAAGGTGGCGAACAAAGATGCCTCAATTCATAGCTCAGTCGGTTTCCATGCTACAGTAGCACTCTTATGGTGTAACTTCAACATAGGATATCTTTCAGCTACAAATACACATTCATGTCAAACACAAACTACAAAGAAAACAAAAAACTGCTTTCAACCAACATACTAAACAATTCTAAACATCTGAATCTAGAGGAGGAAAAAATCAATACTGATTCTTCAATAGCAATCAAATCTCCTTGCTATTATGAAAATAATGCTGAATATTTGACTCCAACAGGTTCAGGTGCTAAACACCTCATTAAAATATGCAGTATTCCATCTTGACTGGAGAACAGACTGTTTTGTATAGCTCAGATGTATTTTGAGCTCAAATAAATTCTGTTCTCTTATTTGTAATATTCCCCAAACACTTGAAACTGCCCATCTCATACCTGAAACAGGTATTTCACAACCTTGTGTGGGACATTTTGTACCCAACATGGGTGTTTCAGATTTGAGGTAACTCAGTTTGAAATGTATTTCACATTCTTACTTTCAAATCCACAGTTCCCTTTCTTCATACCTCACTAATGAACAGTTTTGCAGTTAACGGCTGAGGTATTACAAGATTCTTAAATCAGTAACTTATCAAAAGACCTTTTAATGCAAAGTAACTAAAGATAAAGCTAAAGAAATAGCTTTTGTTGCAAGGGGAAAACTGATTTTGTTATGCAAGTTAATGTATCCAGGGAAAAAGCATTTGCTTACTTTTCTGTCTTAAAAAATATTGCACAACCATCAACATGCTTTCTTTCTTGTTCAGACATTGTTCTAGCTCTGGATTTTGGACTAAAAAATCCATTGTACCCACGTTCTTTCAATTCTGCTAGGAAAAAACTGTAGTACTGCTCAGTTTCAACCTCCTAAAATATAAAAAAGCAAATAATTAGTTGAATACAATATATTCATTTATAATTATTATGAATATTTGAATATCACCCAATTCAAAAAGATTCCAGGTAGTTTACAAAGTAATAATGAAAATTTACCATTCAAAAACACCTGAGACCCACAAAACAAAACAAAAATCACATTAACTGCAAACTGTTGACTGAAAACCAGAAAAACATTAAAATATACCCTCCTCCCAAAAGGCAATCCAATACCAACATGAATGGCTTTGTGGAAGTAAGTTGTTCCATAACCTTGGGACTGCCATGATCAAGAAGGACTGCTTGTCAAGCGCAGGAAATCAGGAGTCCAGGAAGTTCAAATGGTTTATTGTATGCTAATGCTCTCTACAAGAATCTGAATTACTAACAGTCAAAGCAAATTGGCGGTAGATAAGAGTCAATGGATTTCAAGGTCGAGACTGATGACATGTTTGACCTCTCCCTCAGGCTCAACCTGGTCATCTCCTACATCACCTCTCTACTTTCTGTAGACACTGTAAGCATATATTCCTGGGATGAATAGACAGAATGGTTTGATTCTTGCTATAATAAGACAGCTGTGAAAATACATGAGAACTGAATCATGAAGAATGTTATAGGCTCAAGACTGAAGTATGCATTGGAGTTGGCAGTCTGCTAGTAACCACTGAAGTTATGGAAGCATCAGATGTTATAATCCTAACATCTAAGTGCTAGATTTCGCCAGCAGCTATGTTTTCAGCCAACTACACTTTCTCAATTATCTTCAAACACCCATTGTAATAGTCTAAATCAGGGATGTCAAACTCAAGACCCGGGGGGCAGATCCAGCCTGCGGGGTGCTTAGATCTGGCCCATAGGGCCACCCTGGAAACAGCGAAGAACAGCCCATGATGCCTCTGCCAGTGAAAACAGAGCTTGGGAGGGTTGTGTGCAGCCCTCCCGAGCTCCGTTTTTGCTGGCAGAGGGTTGCAGGAGGCCATTGCAGCCGAAAACGGAGCTCAGGAGCCTGTTTTCTTTGGCAGAGCGCTCCACAGGCACCCCCGACATGAGTGATGTTGAACTGGCCACACCCTCCCTGGCCATGCCCCCCCCCCCAAGGTCAAACACAACCCCAATGCAGCCCTCAATGAAATCAAGTTTGACACCCCTAGGCTAAATACAGTAGTATGGGGGGCAGAAGGCGCAGTTTAAGGGCTTCATAACTCAGAGGCTACCACAATAGAAGTGCCAGCCAAAGCTGGGCAAAACTCCTATGACCGAGGCCTCCTTATTTTTACTCAAGCAGAAGTCCTGACCTTAGGAAACCCCTCAAGTCACAGACGTGTTCCTTCAGATCTAAACCGATTACTCATAGTATCTGATGATAACCAGACCAAATGAAAGAGTGGAACCAAGTTGTGTCACTCAGCAAAATGTTTGCACATTTCCTCATCTGATCCTTAAGCACCTGGTCCTTAAGCACTCAGACTTCCAGTTGCATAGATTTGAAGGCTGGCTCTTATGATTTAAAGTAGGCAAATGATTAAAAAGTAGCTTACCCAGTTTGCAAAATAAGATGTTATTCCTGTGGATGTATGCTACATTTATATTTGTAGCCCATAGAATTAATAAACTACTTTGTTAATAGCGAAGTAGTTTGTGCATGACTGCAGCCTTTTTACCATTTACTGGATTTTGGGTGACCCATAATAAGGCTTGACTTAAGCATTGGTATGAAAAACGTGGCATGGAACAAGCAGTCTTTTCAGCCTTCTAGCACTGAGTGACCAAGTGTTGCCCAGATCATGCCTGAGGCAGGACTGAAGCACAGAATATCCTGGATGTCTAGTCCAGTGCCTTTAACCATTACACCAAACTGGTTCTCATGTGAATGAGATATCATGCTCCAAAATAAAATGTTTGTGCAATGCATAAAGCTGGGGGTGTGGTTCAGGAACAATTGAGCTAATTTGTTGGCAAGCCTGAGGAAGGTATAAAGTGTACCATTTTAGAAAAAGTATCAACACTTTTGTTCAACATCTTTGAGTTTGATAAGTCAATAATGAAGAACAGATACACTTGTCCAGGGTCTAGGTAGTAGAAATAAAAGCCTTGTGCATTTCCTTGGTTGGTCTCTGACAACAGCTAATAGCACTTCTGAGCTACTTGTAAGTATTCCAGGTTACAATGATCCATTCCAACTTCAACAGGGTTTTGAGTTTCTTCCAGTAAATGCTTCCAAGTTTCAAAGGCTACCTACATAGCTAAGAGTTTCTTGTCCCAGACAATATAGTGCTATTTTTATAAATTTAATTTTATCTAGTTATAGGCTAGATACAGGGAAGCAAGGTCTGTATTTTTGCTGCAGCTCGTAGCCAAATAACCTTTGGAGTCCTCGGAGCTCTCTCAGCTTGGTTGTTTGCTTGCAATTGTTTCATTACCCATCTAGATAACAGCATCAGTTCTTAGGGGTGTTACCTAATATCTGCCAGCAAACAACCAAGCTCAGAGAGCACCAAGGTTCTACCCTGAGCTACATATATTCTCTTCTTGTTGAAATAACATTTATTGTGATATCAGAATCATTAGTTTCCATTGCAAATGGTTCAGCAGGGTTAGGATAGTCTGGGTGGAGAAGGATTCATTTAGTTCTTGGAAATCTTTCTGCCTGTGGTATACCATATCTGGATGGTGCACTTTTTCAGAGATGTAGGTTAAAGAAGTTGAGTGTTTTGAAAAGTTCAAAATGAAGGTTTCAGCAAATGTGAGGTCAGTGAAATTCTTGAAGGATCCAGAATAATCTCAATATAATTAAACAATGAAGCTATGGAGGTGTAACCCATTTTGTTACTGAGCTAGATAGTAAAAACTGGTGTTTTTTGAAAATGGTGTATGGGAGGTTTTCAAGGCAAAAACTCATATACAAATTGCACTGAGCTAAAAAGGCTAAAGCATTTTCAGGCACTACTGCAGGACATTTTTGAAATGGTGCTGGGTACATTCTATACTGTATAGCTTGTATGATCAGATGAAAACCTGTGTTTTCAATTGTCAACAACTGCAATTAAAGGAATTACTTTCAATCTGTCTTGTACTGCCAACTGCACATATACAGACGGTTTTGATACAAACTCAAGGTTTTTATTGTAGTCATAAATCCTTAACTGTAGTGGCATAAACACATTGCAAACAGCAAACTTTCTGCTTATGGAATGAAAACACGACAACTAACTGTAGTCCAGAGAAGGGGGGAAAAGGTCAATTCAGAAGTGGTCCTAAAATGATCAGGTTTTAAAATTCATCCAGACAATCCAAAGAAGCATTGATATATGATTGCATCATTGTTTAAGTGGGGTCTTGTCACTATCCCACAGTGTGATTGTGATGCTCCTCGACAACATATTCATCCCATCATGTCCGAATGTCCATCAAGAGCTTACACCAGCCCAATGTCTGATTTTTTTTCAACACAGACCACCCTGTCCTTGAATGGCTGGGTGGACTGGACATTAACATTTGAACCACTTTAAGTCCATGCATTTGCCATAAACTAAATAAATAAATAACATGCATGCAGATTGATTTGGGGGTGGGGGATTGTCAAGTTTCCTTTGCATAGCCCTTACTATCATTTTGATTAATTTGCTGAGCCATGCTTCTTCTTTTTCATTGTGATATGACTTCATTCGATCTTCTCTTCGCAATTTGGGGTGCATTGCTGGGTTTAGGAGTTTGCCTAACTCAGGCACTGGATCAGCTGACTCGGCTGCACTGTGTCTTCTTAGCATTCTCTTCAGCTAATTCCTGTATGTAGTTTAACCTCAGGGTCAGTGGCTGAGCTCTTCAGCTTCTGAATCTAAAGACTCAGACTGATTCCTAACACTAAAGGATCTATCTAATAGGAGTTGGGCAGGTGTGCTCTCTTCATTGAAGTCTGTACAAGTTCATCAGCCAGAACAGTTCTAGTCTCATATCCAAGTCCGAATATTTATTCTAAGGGATCCAGTCAGTCCACTTTACCTAGAACAATTTGCAATTGAAGCCCCATCAAAATCTTCCCCTAAAAGGCAAGATGCTTGAAGTCCAGGTTCCGGTTTGAGTTTCTTCGGCGACAGACCGATATCCACGATCGTGCGCAGTTTCGATCTGTGCTCGCTGCTGGAGCACCCCGAACCAGCTGGTTTCGGGGCAAAGCCACCCCATAGAAATGGTGAAGAGGAGGGAGACTGCCAGCAGGGTCAAGGAGAGTCGCATCTCTCCTCCCCAGCTGGCCATTACTCCCTTTCCCAAAGGCGGTTGCAGCGGTGGTCAGAAATGGCCACCTCAAAGAAGAACTTGACCGGAAAAGAATGTGCAGGAGGAAGATAAGAAGAGAAAGTTTTGGCTGACCGAGTCGAACTGAAAAAGCAACAATATAAGGTACCCTGGAATTTGAATTATAAAGAATAACACTGCTCCCAAAGAAGACTTTGAAGCAGCGAATGAGAGAGGGAAGGGAAAGGATTTGGGTTTTTTTCTTTTCTTCCCTATATTGACAACTTAAGAGATCTAAGCAAGAAACCGGCAAAAATCCACTTTGACATTAACAGGTATTTAAGCTAAAAATAAAATGTCAAAGGGATAATAAAGATTTCTGGATTCTTAAAAATTTTTAAAAGAAGGAAAAAAACAAAAGGGTGGGATCTGGAAAAATGGAGGAGACCACCTGGAAGTGAAAGCAATTAACAGTGAAACTTTAACAAGATTCCTAAAAGATACATTTTAATTGAAACTTTGTAACAAGATAATAGAACCCCAGGAAGAGAAAGTGAAAAAAGAAGCAAGAAGAAACAGCTTTGGATTATTTGGATTACTTGGTGATTTTTTGATTTTTGGCTATTGGATTTAAAGGACTAAAATTAATCGGGTGGTTGTTTAAAAGTTTTTAAAAGGGTATCACTTTTGGAAGAATTGAGAATGGAACTTAAAAAACAGAAAGAAGATGCACAAGAAGGAAGAGGTTCTTTTGG